CTAAAGCATAAAAAGCTCACCGAGTACTCCGAGCCAAAGAAAGAAACTAATTAGAAAACATGCATGAATCCTTAGGATGGCTAATGCAACACATGCAAGATGCAACTATAATAGGCTCGGCTTATTCTAAGATGGCATATGATGATGCTACAACTAACACGTATTCAACTTAGAATTGAAATATAATACAGTTAGTATGATGCGCCGAGCCCGGTGCATATGATATAGATGAATGATGCAAACATGCGAATCATAAGTATGCTAATTTAAACATGCCCTAATCTAACCATCGAAAGCTGGTAAATAAAAGGGAGAAAGACGTGGGTTGGAAGACATACAACACACTCACGCACACTTATTACACAATTGCACTCGCTCGGAGGGTCCGAAAGAATAATACAGGCCAAATGAATAATTAACTACTCTAGCTAATTAAATATTACATAACACTTAACTAATTAAACAAATTAACTAAGCTATGGAAAGCAGTAAAAGGCCTCGGGAAGAGGGATACACGCATGTTTGGATTGACTACGCCCGGAAATCCAATGACATGACACATGTTGCCTCTGTTTGCACTGCCCTGCTCCTCTGAAAATTATGCAAGTTTCCAGAACTGCTTTGAACTTCCTCCTGAGTGTTTTGGAAGGCCACCGGCTGAAATACAGTACCACCGGCCACTGAAAACTTGTAACCGACCAAAAATTGTGATCTCAGCTAAATATGTTTGGCCGGTCGGCACTAAAGATTGTCGGTCAGCCAATTCTTCTTGCTGAAACCTGCTGTTGCTGCAGCAGAGGGCAGACAAGGCATGGCATAGAATTTTCACAGCGATGTGTGTATGGCCACTCTCCCAATCATGCTACGGACTCAAGGGAGTGTGGCCCTCGGTGCTTGGGCCACCAATCACGCATTTCGATGCATGATGGCCAAAGGCCCCGAGTTTGGAAATCAATGTAGATGAATGCAACTAAACTCATGAGTGCTACACGCCCTATCATGTTGAGATCAAGGGCATCAGCGACCGAGGATCGAGATGCGTTACGTCACTTTGAGTACGAACGCACCTCAATTCTCATGATTGGTTTGACACCCCAAACCAAACAATGCAATACATGTATACAAATATGGCTCAGGTATGTAAGAGGGCTCGAGTATGCAAACATGCCAAATGTAATGCAAACCAAGCATGCAAACATGCAATGTGATGCAAACTATCATACAATGCTATGACATGAAATGCAATTAGCTAATCAATTTGCAAGTGTGCAAACATGCTATAATGCAAACACGAAACCAAAATAATGTAACATGGTTATGCAATGGTGGATTTGAACCAAAGGGGCAAACCTCAGCCCACCCCAAAACAATGACCAAAAGGTGGTGCAAGAGAGCACAAGTCATGTATGCAAGCATGCACACACCAAGGTCCATCACCCGAGCATGGAAGGGGACAACTCTAAGGACACGTAAAGACAATATACTTGGACATTAAACACTCATGTTAAACTCTGAAAAGCATGCAAAAGATGACACCGAAACATGCTAGGGAATGGATGTGAACAAGGAAGCATTCAAGGCCACAAAAAGTAGTATTCTACTACAACCACCCCAACCACTCACGGCATGAATCATGCGACCAAAAATAGAGTTTTAATGCATCAAAATATGCCCCAATACCCACTGATATGGCAACCCAAGACCCCAAACACATAGGCATGTACAAAAGCCCAAACATGGAACATAAGACCACACCTCTTTAAGGCATTAAAAGGGGAACAAATGGAAGCACGTAAGCATCAAACATGGACTGAAATGACCTAATAAGTGATTCCAAATCACTGAAATAGTCTAGCCAATACATGCTAATGACTCACACGCCCGATACCAACGTGTTAGAATGCAAAGGGGGCCATACAAAACACATCAAATACGACCAAGCCAGCACCCAACAGACCTCAATCATGATAAATAGTGACCAAAAGCTTCACAAAGCTAGGTAGAAATATGCAAGCATGAGGGTTTAATGGCTAGATGCATTTCTAGGCAAAATGGGGGAATACAAAGCAAGTGTATTAAGCATGGGAGAGGCCATTAATCTGACCAAAAACAGAGACATATTATGACCAGACAACACCTACAAACCTCTGAAATGGAACCAAAAACAACCAAGCACATATGCTACCCTTATGAGGCCAAAGCATGCACAAATGAGACACAAAGGGAAGAGGGGTGTCCCTCCCCTATGCAGGACTTCAAACCCTCTTCTTCACCACTGAAAATCCACTGGATTTCAGTGGTGAGAAGGCCAATACACCAAAGTAACCAAAGCTTAACAAAGAAAGCACAAAAGGGTATGGGGAGGTCGACCCCCAACACCAAAACAACCTTAATGAACTATCTTAAGCATGAAAATACAAGACTTTTTTCAGTTATACACAAAGTCTAAAACTGTAAGCAAGATAGGATAAAGGCTAGTGCAAGATTGGAGAATGTAAAGTAAGTAATGTTACCTTTGAAGAACCCTTGAAGAACAGCAAGCTCAGGCCCCTTCTTGTGATCAAAATCAGCTCAAAACTTCAAGAACAAACCCTCAAGGCCTCCCAAGTTGAAGTATGGTGTAATAGTGTGTGTCTTAGTGCAATACTATGAACTAAACACACTTTTAGGCTATAAAACACACACAAAATGAAGAGAGAGAGAGAGAGAGAGATATAGAGAGAGAAAGTGTATATCAGATTTGTATATATATTTTGCTCTGGTTTTTGCTGAACCCATCAAAGGAGAAGAGGGGCCTCTTATATAGACAATGGAAAAGGTTAAGCTTCCAAGGGAAGCTAATAAAGGGGTCAAGGCTTCCTAAAGAAGCCAAGGCAAAGGGACCAAGGCTTCCATAGGAAGCTGGGACAGGTGTCCAAGCTTCTTGAGGAAGCTAAGACAAAGGTCCAAGCTTCCTCAAGAAGCTAGAACCAAAAGGTGCAAAAGGGGCAAAACAGCCACACTCATGCACAGGGGCAGGGTTTGTGCATTCTAGCTGGCACAGCTGGCATGCACCATGCCTGAAAAAGGCAAAAAGGTGGTACCGGCAAGAAAAGGAGGCCATCAGCCAAATAGATGATCGGCTGACCACACAAAATGCCGACCGGCCAATGGTATATTTCACCAATGGCTGGTAGTAAGAAGACACAGCCGGTGGCCTCAATCCAGGGCCGGTGGGTGTCAGGGGTAGTTAACAAGCTACTCTCTACCCTCAGGTACAAAAACAAACAAGTCCTTGGTGTAAAACCAAGCACAGAACAAACAAGTCGAGAGATCTTGAGGCAAGGCACGTAGCCAAGACCTCCGGGAACTCAAAACAAACACGGACATAGAGGATCACCGAGTGTTCAAGCGGTGACGTCCAAGTCTTGAGGACGGTCAAAAATGGGGTGTCTACATATCCCCAATATGTGTTGGTAGAGTGAGCATATGATATACATATGTGAACTTTCACATTGTGTTGTATTTAACAAACACATATAATGACTAACAATACTCATACATCATGAATAACACTAAGAAAGAACATTCATATTAAATCTATATTTCTTGGTAGACAAAATGTATATAGCTATTCATATCAACAACTTTGTGGAATCATTGTTTACTAACTAACAATACCCAAGTTCACATGTTAGTGATTGGTATATCATATACAAAACATATTGTACTTAGACAAAACCTGATGTTAACATTGTGTCATCAATACATCAAAAGAAAAGGGTGGGGTGTGAAAATATGAAGTTTAGTTCTCAGATGCATCCTCTTTGGTATCAACAACAAAAATTGTATGATTTGTTCTTTCAAGATCATTCAAAAATGCTTCGACTAACATAGCTCTCATAGAGAACCAAGCTTCCTTGTCCAGCATCGGTTCAATCGGTTCATGATGGGCATGTTGCCTCATTATGTAGCAAAGTGCAACTCCGCAATTAAGTCTACAGGGGAAAAAAGAAAAGAAAAGAATCAATACTTTCTTATATTCACATTGGTTGTAGGTGTTATATCAATGAGAATATTAATTGTAAATACTCACGAATTCGGATCTTGTTGAGGGCATGCAACAACTGATTGCAATTGCTTGACATAGTTTGAGGGTGTTAATGTATCTGCCATATCCGATGTGGAGAGCAATTTCTGAATATGTGATTCGATATATGTTTTCTGTGATTGTGAATATGATTAGATGTGTAGAATAGATAATATTTTAACTACGATGATGTGTAACTCAACATGCACATTTTTTCATATTATAGAATGAAATATTGAAATTACCACTATCCTTGCTTGAGCTAGGTGTATGTCTTCAAAACCATCTCTGGGCCTTATTGAATTGTAGTGCTTCCACACTCCATCATCTATATTTCTCACTACTATGGTCCAGTGATACTTAAAATGGAGTGGAAAGTGCAGACATCGATACTGATTTGCATGCTTGATGTGAGGATCAATGAATTTGGTTTGTAGTTCTGCGTTTTCATGTTTAGTCATGCTCTGGAAACATTAACAGCACTTTGTGAGTAATGAGTTTTATAAATAAGGGATCAAACTTGTTTTTAATTCAGGATTAAAATAACAATAATAAGAAGAAATTATACTAAACACAAGTTGTTGAAAAATAATGAATTGTCAAATTGTTGTGAATTTGTCATCATTGATTCCTACTTGTTTCTTAAAATTTTCGCATATGCATCTATGGCCTGTATATATTCAATGGTAACGTGATTATGATGCGAATGTTAATATATATAACCTTTAATGCACAATGCACAAAGCACCATACATTGTTTGTTATGGACTTGTCTAGAATTATTAACTCAAGATTGTTATAGAAAACATAAGTCTCCTTGGTGTTTCCTCACCAAACAGTTAACCTACATTTAGAATTTAGATATAATAAGACAAGAATGGTATGTAAAGACATAGAAGTCGTTTAAAATATGCTTACCCATAACCTCCATTTTTATGCATATTCCTTAGCTTTTGCTTGTACTGTTCAGATATGATCTTCCAAACTTCATATTTGTTGGCCAACCCAAACTTATTATGCTTAGGACGCTTAAAGTCTCGAAACTTGTGCAAATAGTTTTTAAAATCTGGATCTACAACTTCACATTGCTTCTCACTGTCATTTTGTTCCAAATTTTCCAACTTTCTTTTCTGTTTGTCACCCTTTTTGTTTTGATATTCAAAATCAGGCAACTTCAGTTCTTTCCTTTATTTTTTAATTTTGGTGCGCTTCACCAAAGATGTCAGAGTTTTTTGGGTCTTCTTCTTCAAGTTTTGCTTCAGTTCCACATCCATAGTCTCTTGGTTTATCTGTTGTGTGACAACATGTACTGCATCATCATCAATTTTATCTAATAGCATAGTTTTCACAAGTTAGAGTATAGTCTTCTCAATTTGGAGGTCAATTATGGAGTTGCTTTGCCTTGCTATCTCAACATTCTTATTATCAATTGTAAGTTTGACAAAGGACAACTCATTCTGAGCTGTTGGATTCTCCTTCTAGCTACATATTAATGTTTCCAACTCTAAGATGATTTTGTCTTTCATGTCATTTGCTGCCTGCAGATTCTGGTTCTCAATTTGTAGTTTCTCGATGAGGTCCAATGCTTTTTGCTGGTCAGCGACCATTTTCTCTATAATGTTGTCTTGAGCAACCTTTGACACAATGACTTGATACACCCCATGCGCATGTAGATATGCAACAGTCTCTGCACCTTCCTCAATATTGGCTTCACCATGTGCATTGCTTTGAAATTGTGCCTCATTGCCAAACTCTCTGTCATATGTCACATCAATGTCATCCTCTGGTATGCAAGTACTCATGTTTAGTTCTTCCACAATTTTAATGTGATGATCCTCTCTAGTCTGAAATTGTAGTTGATTGCCCAACTCTACATTGTATGTCTCATCAATGTCATCCTCTTGTATGCTCATGTCCATTTCTTCCTCAATTTTGACTTCATGATGAATAATATTCTCAGGTGCATCTTTTTAATTCTCCTCATCCCGAATTATTGTATGCATGAACATTGTGCTCTTATAGTTTGTTGGTATGAGCTTCTCTTTATAAACCTGGTAATAGAGATTACTGTTAGTTTTAGTACAATAAATAATATTATTCACATTAGATAATGTTGGTATCTAACCTCATCATCATTGATTGACAACAAAGACAAATTCTTCACATTCTTGTGAAGTTTTGTTAGATTCCATTTGAGAAATCGAGGTGTTGCATTTGCCAATATTGGTTCCACTATTTTGGTACACTCACACAGCCAATACTACATAAAATGTACCAAATTGTCAACTATATGATTGAACATTTTCAATGTAAGATGAAAATTATACTCCAAACATTCACAATGGGAAGATTTATATTTCAAACGTGAATGTCAAAACAAAATCTTGATAATGTGACTCAACATAATCAGTTAATATACATTAGGGGTGAGCATGGTTCGGATTGAACCGGATTGGGATAAAATCAGAACAAATCTGTTACCTACGGTTCCTGAAAAATTAGAATCAATCCAATCTGTTTAAATCGTGGAATTAATCCATTTAAACGCGGATTGGATCGGTTTAGGACCACGGATTCACATAATTAAATAATAATATATATATATATATATATAACACTTTAATTTCATAAAAATATAAATATAGTATTATATTAGTTCCACAATAGTAACATGTCTTTCTATAATAGCGATTTACTGTTTTAGAATGTAAACAACCATAAGAAAACTGGTTCCACCATAAGTATTTAGATCATTGCAAATCAAAACTAAAAACTAACAAACAAAAGTAATAAAAGAAGATACTATGTGTGTTTAGGTTTGTGTTTAGGTTATATATGGAATAAGCAAAGATACTATGCGGGAGGGTCTATAATAAAAATATAGACTATTTGTATACGGTTTGGATCGATTCCAATCCGGAACCAATCCGCAGACTACGTATTTTTAATCCTTCAATCCGGAACAGAACCACGGATTCAAGAAACAAATCCAAACCTATCGGATTGGACTGGACTGGATCGGATTACAGATTTTACGGATTCCTTACTCAGCCCTACCTTTTTATACATTGGCCTACCATATGGTTTTCGGAAATGTAGGGGTAGAAAGGGGGTGTAACCCGACTTTCCGCGCTCCTTTTGAAAGGCAAATAACCCTACAGTTCGGACTTCACTTGTGGTTCCGAATCTGATTTCATAAGTGCATTGACCAATTTTATACAATCTAACAAATATTACAAACAAGCATCACAAAATATCAATCAACCACCAAAATATTGTTTGAAACATCAAAAATAAATTATATCCATAAATTATAAACATTCAACAATTGTTTATACATTCCAAACATTCGAAAACTATATCTTTAAGTTCTAAACTGTAAAAAAAGTTTAAACCATCCAAAACTATGCATATCTAACTTTCTAAACATATCGACAACTATTAAGAGATTATATAAAACTACTGACAACAGTTCCTATAACAATTACTGCTGTAACTGTAGCAAATCCACTTGCTACTATCACAGGGACGAGGGTGCCCAATGTATGTGTTAAGGCACCTAAACCCGCGGCAATAGCTAGAGTAACTAACCTGGTTGCATTTCTTGTCTGCATGACAAAAGAAACTTCACATAAGTACAAAAACCAACAACTTAGGGACAAAAATATTTCTTGAGGTATTAAGAAATGATCAAGAAATTTTAAAACATCAACAAAACATTTCCAAAATTAATAAAATAATTCAATGGCCCTATAAAAGCAATGTCATAATGAAAAATTAGCAAAAATTCAAGATCTCAATAGTCTCAACGCATATGAAAATAAAATCCACATAAAACAAAACCTTTTTTTTTTCATACCTCAAATGAAGTTACCTCTAATGAAGTTACCTCTTTTGTTGCAATATTTCTAGAGAGAAATGAGTAGGAATCTTCAAACAAACCATTAAGTTTGTACAGGAAAATATAGTTTTCTACTAAATCCAGGCCATAAGAAGCTCAAGAGAAAAATTAAATTTTAAAAGAGGAAAAGGTGGAATTAATCTACTTTAATGCAACACCTACTTGGGACTTGCATAATTATGTTAAAGGATATCTATGTATGAGGTTTAGGTTTGCATAGGTTTCCCCATATAACAGCCTCATAGTAAATTTCCCCATATAACTGCTGCAAAGTAAAAGAAATCCAGAAGCCACAAAAAGAAAAATCCAACACAGCCTATAAATCACATTCGAAAGATGAATAGAAAAGGGCAAATCATACCTATCAATCCATTTGGGCAAAAAATATCATTTAGAACACTTAAATTGATAAATGAAGGCAGACACATTTTCCTTCTATTTATATTGCAACTCTAACGACCTCCATATCCTAAGACACAAACTTTTGACAGAGATGACATATCAAACCTAGCAACAAGAAATGTAAAAGCAATAAAGATTGATGCGACCTACTGTTGCCATAAATCTCCTTGCAATATGCAAAATGATACAAGATTACACAAATAGAGAATATAATTATTTAAAAGGATATGTAGTCAATGCTCTAGAATACAAGAAGCACTATGACTAAGTAAAAGCAAAATTATAGAACATATCACAGGCATGAACATGAACTGGAAAAAAAATGCTCTTTGTACCATGGAACTGAATAATATGCAGCCGTCACTCTCTCCATAAAGTTACAGCCTAAACTCGACATTAAACTGAAATGTCACACCAGAACATGACATGTGCTTTTTTGTCCCATTCAACAAATTGAAATCAACACCAGTTTAAGACTAAATATACCACACTACTTAGAATTATAGTTGTTCTTTGGAAAATAGGATGTCTGCAACATGTACGTGCTTGCAAATAAAGATGTATTTTCAGACACAACACAAGAGTAAACAAGCCTTGACAAAAATTTTAGGCCTACCTTAGCCATGGGACAGTGACTGAGGTATCTAAACCACCACTATAGGCTAAAACCACTTCATTTAATTTTTTGCTTAAAACTCCCCCACTGCCAGCTGAAGAGGCTATCGTCTCTTTTTCACTGCTCAAAACCGCTTGAATAGCTGCACTTTTTAAGGCCAAAACATTAAAGAAAATGTAAGAAAAAAATATATGAAATATCAAACATAATTTATCAAGAACTTTAGAAAATGTACAAGAAATATACCACTGAGTAATTATCCAAGGTTGGAGTCTGTCCCAAATTTTGTTCCATTTTGATGTTATGTAATAAGATGAGAAAAATAACAAGCTAAAACAATAGTTATAATTTGAAAAGGGTCAACTGTATCTCAATACTTATAATTTATGAGAAAGAAGACGGATATTGTGGAAAAATGAAGGTGTGGTGAACGAAACCCAAAACAGAAAAGGTAGTACTTCGAAGGAAAGTACAATAACAATAAAAAGGCTTAACATGATACATTAAAAAAACTATTGCCACTAATATACTTTATAAAAATTTATTGTCACTAGTAAAGAAATCAACATGAGTTCCTTCACACAAATAACCCATCTATCATGTAGGACACCCAAAAAACTATTAAAATTTAAATAAAAAATAATAACAAATTTCAATCAAGAGGAAATAAAAGACTATTACCTCTTGGAATGAAGGCAAGTTCTTTGAACAACATACTTTATCAGGATATAGGAATGGATCTGTAAATGAAACAAATTTTATTAAAATTAGAAGCTTAGCAAATGCCCACAAAAAATAAGAGAAATTCAGGCCTTGTTTGGTTTAACCTCTGTCCTAACTTCTCACTTTCATTGATATATATTGGCAAGTCACAAACTCTGGTGTATAACATTTCCCAATCAGCAATCTGTAGAAAATACAATCAAAGTTTAGAACAAAATTGACCAAACAGAACAAAAAGGAAAAAATAATAATAATAAATAAAATAGTGACCAAATAATCTTTTCTAATTAGCCAAAAAAACTAGTTCCTCGTAATTAGAAAAAACAAGTTAAAAAAAAAAAGCATCAAGTGTGAGAAATTATTTACAGAAACTTTTGAGCACGTTGAAAGGATGGAATTAATTTCCTGGCTCAAAGCTCTAGCTTCATTTTCGTAATCCTATACACAAAAAATTAAATAGCTGTAAGAGTCAGATTTGTAAACAAAACACATGCACATCAGAAACAAAAACCACATCTCATATTGCACTTTTAATTTAAGAAGTGCAGGCTCATTACAAGGCACTAGATTAAAGCCAAGTAAATTGTCAACATGCTCCCACTGCACTTTTCTGTATCACAGCTGCGATGATATGACTATTTTTCCACTTCAGAAAGACAATCTCTAACACCTTTAGCCAATTTTGAGAGTCAACCAAGTTCTTTGTCACGTCTCGCACATATATCAACAAGTGGACGAATATAAATTATTCAGGCACAATAACACTTAGAAAATATGAAGAAGAAGAACTCCGAAAATATGAGGAAGAAGGAATATATTTCTGTTATATTCAAAACTTCTTATCTTACAAGACCAAATGACACTCCTTATATAGGAGATATTACAAACATCATCATAACCCATTATATGCCACTTACATATTATATATTACCACAATCTACCACTATCATATTATATACATGCCACTATCTACCACCAACACCACTATCATATTATATACATGCCACCAGCACATTGAAAGGATGGAATTAATTTCCTGGCTCAAAGCTCTAGCTTCATTTTCGTAATCCTATACACAAAAAATTAAATAGCTGTAAGAGTCAAATTTGTAAACTAAGCACATGCACATCAGAAACAAAAACCACATTTCATATTGCACCTTTAATTTAAGAAGTGCAGGCTCATTACAAGGCACTAGATTAAAGCCAAGTAAATTGTCAACATGCTCCCACAGCACTTTTCTGTATCACAGCTGCGATGATATGACTATTTTTCCACTTCAGAAAGACAATCTCTAACACCTTTAGCCCAATTTTGAGAGTCAACCAAGTTCTTTGTCACGTCTCGCACCTATATCAACAAGTGGACGAATATAAATTATTCAGGCACAATAACTACTAAGAACAACAACAAAGACATCTGTGTTGCTTACTAAATGAGACTTGATATAAGGCCATAGTGCATCCAAACAGCTGCACCAATCGCCCAAGATAAAAAAAAAAAACATGGTGTGTTTCATCCGATTAAGGAAATGCATCACCAAGTCTATCCACAACATTATTTGCAGCCATATATACAAGATTTCTATTGATAATTTTGAAGTCCTAAATACCATGTTTGTGTTATTTGTTTAGTTGAGCAATTTAACATCAGAGTTGAATATTATACGTATTCAAACATATCTAACAAACCAACAAAGAATATAGTGGAGAACAGAAAGAAAAAATAAGTAATGTGAACACTAATAAAACATCTCATATATTTAATAAATATCATGCCAACAGAAGAGCAAGGTCCAAGAGTCAACAAAGTAATAGTTGAGATATCAAAAGGGTAACATGAATGATTGATATTTTGGATCACCGCATATTGATCTATTACTGGAAACAAAAATTTGATATTAGATGGTCCAAAAGCAAGCATATGTTTGAAATGCAACATGTAGCATTTGACACAAACACAATCAACGTGCTATGTTTCCTATTTACCATGAGAATAGGAGGTGTTGTAAAAGTAATTCTACTCAGCAACACAACAAAAAGATATTGATAGGATAAGATATGTATTGATCTATTACTGGAAACAAAAATTTGATATTGGATGATCCAAAAGCAAGCATATGTTTGAAATGCTACACGTAGCATTTGACACGAACACAATCAACGTGCTATGTTTCCTATTTCCCATGAGAATAGGAGGTATTGTAGAAGTAATTCTATTCAGTAACACAACAAAAAGATATTGATAGGATAAGATATATAAGATCAAAGTTTGGGATTGATGCCATCTAATATAAGAAGTACCTTGTATAAATCTGGACGCCGATCACGAAATACTCCCCAACGATGTCTCTTGGATTTGATCTTGTCAAGATCAAATTGGGTTATAAGAACAACTCTATTTTTATCATCAGCAGATGTAACAATTTCTCCGGTGGGTCTTGTTCATCAAGGTAAAACTGTTAAAGCATATCTGTCAGCGGTACAAGTCCAAAATTACAATATATGAACAAGCATTTAACTGCACAAATGCTACAAGTCAATAAGGTGGAATACCAGCTATAACAGAGTTGCCATAGAATGTGATTTCATTGTTTCCATGCTCAATCTTGATGATCTCCTTCCTAATGCGGTTTGAAGCAACTAGAGGTACCTGAATTTATTTAAATTGATTACTTTGTTTTTATCATTTCATGATGCAACATTATGATGGAAATATTAAAGTAAGTCCTTAGTTTTGATCACCACAAATATTGACAATAGTAGGACACCAACACAGAAACCTTAGTCTACTGCACAAAATGTTGTGGCATCAACAAGCTCAAATAAAATTTCTGCATCCTTGAGTGGTGAAGGACCAAATAACATTCGCTCAAATTTTGTTGTATCTAAAGGGCGGGCCTTAGTGAACATGGAAGCATCCATAGGATTTACCACTATGGTGTCCCAACCATTGGCTCCAATTGGCACTCCTGATGTGAATTATGATGTGCAGGCAGATAAAATGCCTCACAATATCAAGTATGTGCTTTTTAATAGATACTAACTGTTATCCCCCCCTCCTCCCAAAAAAAAAAAGTATTGTCTGTATACAGTTGGATGCCTAATGCTGATATGTTGTTCTTACAGGTTCCTCCAAACATGACCTACTTCTGTCTTATCTAATGGTGGAAAAACCCTTGGCCCAAGCCTAATGTTTGAGACCAAGAACAAAGTTCTGGATTATGTTCAAACATCTTTGGGCTCTTGGAGTGATGCACACATTAATCAACATGTATGTGAAACCATTGTTCTTCACTCAATGGTGAATATCTGTTCCTTCTACTATTATATGTTAGAACATAATTCAAATGTGGGCTAAAGGGACAACTGTAGCAGATCTGATTGTAAGACACCTATTGATTGTTGTTCTACAAATATGTGATAGTGAACTTAGTAGTTGAGAGTCTTTAGGATTAGTTACCAAGTGGTTGAGAGTTTTTAGGTGTTTTATTATCTGTCAATGTAATCTGGTAGCAAAAAATAAAGAAGTAGTGCATTGTGTAGCTAACAGAAGAGTCTATTTAAACTCTTTTGAGTGTTTATTTTTAGGCAGGGTCTGCAGCCATTTCTAAACACTGCAATATTCAATAAATTCTAGTGTTTCTTCCACAATTTTTTCTAACATTATAGGGTTGTTGTAGCTGTATTGCTAGCATTGATCGATTTCCCTACGTTGTTCTTCCTTTCCTTCTATATCTACATAAATTGTTCTAATCTCTTTTTGTGAAAAATAGGATACTATCAATGTTGATTACTTTGTATTGTTTTAGTTTCATATAAGTAGGGCTTCCCCTTTTGGTTTATTTTTTGTTGTCTCTGTCTGATGGGGTGCGCCCAGCTGTGTTTATAGAGCAATGCCAAGGCAATATTGGAGGACCCTAGTTATCAGCTACTGTGGTGGCCCTCTTTCTGAAAAGACTAGTTGATATCATGTGGAATGGTGGTCCTAGCATTAAAAATTGACCAACCTAGGATGATCTTATACTACTATTATTTTTTTGTTGCACTTGAACATAATGTAGTTTGTCGTTTCTTCTAAGTGAGACCTGATGATGTTGGACAACACTATGACACTTATAATGCTGCATGTGGTTAGTTATATGGTGGTTTAACCTATGAACTTGTAAGAATAGGGTTTGTAAAATGTTGAAGAAATAATGTAGTGTTTAGAGGAGAAGTGACTGGACTTTGGCTTTATTTGAAAGTGAGAGATTGTAGGAACTTCAGAATGATGTATGGAAATTTCAGGAAAAAAAGTACTTCTGGGTTTTGGAGTCGATTTAAAGTCCAAATTTAGTAAGCAAAGGATTAGCTCATGGAATATAGGCTTTGGAATGAAACAAAAGAAAGAAACTAAGGCAGGTTTGTGATTGAAATAATAGAATCTAATAGCAGAGAATTAAAGATAGAAGAAAATGAAGAAGAAAGAGAAAGAGAAGGTTCTTATGGGAATCCCACTTTGATTCTTTAGGAGTTACTCTCTAAGGTTGGGTTGCGTCACAAAATAACACAATCTTTAATTATCAAAATCCATTCTACTGAGTTGAAGAATAAGTGTTGCTATGTTTAGGTTGCTAAACTCCTACTTCTACTAAGATTAGGATCCCAAAAGTGGAAAACTTGACCTGTAACATAATCCTTAACCCACATTATATACCACATGTGAGCATTAAATGATTTGGTTGACCAAGAACGTGGCTTGTGTACTTATTATATCACAGGCCAATTTAAAAGTGACCAGAAATGTAATGACTTGAGAATAAACATAAATACTCAAAATCAACCCAAATTTGATTACATAGTAAGGTTTGAAGCATGCCCATGTGAAAATCTCCAATTTGTACCTTTACGTATTGTGTTCTACATCAACAATTGTGTTAGAGCCTGATAGGTGTACACACGTTCTTCAGGATAGTTTGTTCATTTGGGGTAATGAGTTTTGGCTGATTTTACACTGCCTCTTTGTCTGTGTCCCAATCTTACTGTTCTTTCTTTTTTTCATTTCCTCTTCATATTTGAAAAGTTTGGAATGGGGAAGCAAAATGATTTAAAATGGGTTTTTAAATCTCAACTTTTAGTATATACAAAACATATTAGCACATGCCTCACATTTTCCCACAACATATTGGAATAGCAGGTCTATAGTTCAAAATCAGAATTTGAAATCAATCATAATTTTCAGTTTAGCAAATTAGAGGACTAACAGACCCCAGACTGAATTCAGTTTTCTAAATAATCCATAGTAGCCATTTCCTACAATCAAAAAATGACAGAGTCTGACCACTGCATCCATCACTGACTTATGCCTCATTTGTTCTACAAATGTGAACAAATGCTAAGGGAGCATCTGAAAAGTTGCAAAGGATACTTACAATTGAGGGAAACAACCATGTATAGAAGTTTAGGATACATCACAAAGGTGGCCCAAAGCCAAACAGCATATTCGTCATCATCTAATTTAGGGTAGTTCTTAATAAAACAAAAAATCAAAAAAAAAAAAAAAAAAATCAATCAAGAAACTCATGTACATAACTAGATGATCTGTTTGGCCCCCAAGACAACACTCTGTTTGGTAGTGAAGAAAAGAATCTAAACAACCCAGAAAATGTACCTGTGTTCTTCTTCGGTCCACGGAGTTCCTTTCTTCCTCTCGACCTCGCCGTGCTTTGTCTTTGCTGCCGACCCAAATGAGGTCCGACTCCTCTTTGACTCGGTCTTCCACCCGAGCGACGACTCGTCAGAATAACTCTGCAACTCTACTCAGCCTGACTGAATCTCCTTTGCAAATCTGTGAGCGAGAGAGAGAGATGCCCCAAATGAGATGTGTTAGGGCAAATCACAGAGAGAGAGAGACAGACAGACAGAGAGAGACAGACAGACAGACAGAGAGAGAGAGAAAGAGAAGAGAATGAGTGTGTACCTTTCCTTATCTTCTTCTCTGTACCCAACGCTGTTAAATGGAGTTTTTAACGTTGTTTTTCTAATCGAAGCCGCAAAGAGACGAGTTAGAAATGGAAGTGAGCAAAGAGATGATGAAGGAAATGGGGATGGATGCTGCTGTCAAGCCAGTTGTCGTACCGGCGATAGATCCCCTTCGAACCAGTGTCTGATGATTAGAATCTATTAGAAGCCCAAACAGATGATGCATATTTTCTTTTGCCAAATATTTTTTTTGTTTTTTTTTTCGTGAATTGGCGCCAGAAATTTTATTTTGGTGCTTCTTGTTTTTTATCATACAATTTATGACATACATTGTCCGTCGTAAAGTTTGTAATACTTTTAATAACAGGTGTTGTGTGCGTCGTAAAAGGTAATACTTTTAACGGTTGGCGTATGTGCGTCATGTATAATTAATATATTAACGACACGCCATATGTACGTCGTTGAAAGTTTTATTATTTACAGCGTGCATTGCAAGTCGTTAAAGAATCATTGTTATTACCATTCACGGCCTACACAATAGACACGCCGTGGTTGGAGAAGTATTTACGACGTGCAAAAAAAGAAAGTCGTAAAAGTGAGAAACTACGGCGTGCATTTATTGTATGCCGTTGATGTGGTGTCGTAAAAAGTCAATTTTGTTGTAGTGAAGTAATTAAAGAAGATACTATGTGGGTTTAAGTTTGTGTTTAGGTTTTATATAGAATAAGAGAAGATACTATGCAGGAGGGTTTATAATAAAAATATAGACTATTTGTATATGGTTCGGATCGGTTCCAATCCGGAATCGTAGGGTTCAATCCAAAACCAATCCGTAGACTACGGATTTTTAATTCTTCAATCCGGAACCGAACCATGGATTCAAAAAACCAATCCAAACCTATCGGATTGAACTGGACTGGATTGGATTATGGATTTTACGGATTCGTTGCTCAGTCCTAATATACATGTCGAAAAAAAATTCTGATTATAAACTAATGTGAATGTATAATTTCAGACGTACACATTAATATTTATGTGAGTGAATGTAGTATTACATAACATTAAAGCCATAACACAGCAAGTCACTCGTTCTAGACGTCGATCATGAAGTTCAATGGAATTCGTTGATGTGGACTTGATGGTTTCTACGCAATCATATTGCCTCATCTTGTCCAAATGCTCCATGTGCTGATAGTATGCCCATCCAATTGTCTTGCCAGTTGTGGAATAAAAGAGCTTTAAACAAGCATACAAACTTATCAACCTAGCAACCTCCTCATTATCTGATTTCTTTCTTCCAACCAATGCCTCATCGATCAAAGATTGGATATTTTTCGATGTAAGCCTCTGTGTGTCTTTGCACTTCTTGTCGATAAGTCCAAATGTTGGCTTCAAACCATATGCAGTTTTTGTTGGCACAGATCTGTAGTCTACTCCAAAAATTAATTTGATGTCATGTGCAGACAATTTGAGAGATTTGGGGCCAATTTTGAAAGAATTTGACGCAGGATTGTATGTCTCTATAATCTTTCCTATCACATCATCATATTTCATGCATGATGATAGTTCAATTTTTATGTTTATCAGTGCATCAAACATCATCCAAAATGGAGTTCTCTTCAAACATTTCAGCAGAAATCACCCCCGCACAACTGTATGAAAATATTTAAGTGAATTCTCTTTGTTATTTATTTTTTAATTATCAACTAATCATTTTATTGACATTATTAGATTTAGAAAATGAATCTACAAAATAGATTTATATATTATTTCCATTACCTTTTGTCTCTTTTGTTTTGTTATTTTATCACTTTATCTTTTAAATGGAGTATTTTCTTTAGGCATTTATGTTTTAAGTTTTTATTTATTTTTTTTTTATAATTTGTTGTTAAAGTTAATTTTTGTCTAAAATTATATGGAAAACAAGTGTATGAATATAGGGAATAGGGGACACATTTTATATTATCCATAAAAAAATTAGTTTGATTCAATAATCATAATTTTTCTTTTATTTTATAGTATTTTGTCTCCGAAAAAATGGACAATAAATATATTTTTGAAATAGACTATCCTTTTTTTAGAGACAAATGCAATAAAATGAAAAAGGTTATGATTATCAAATTGACCTAAATATTTTTATTGATGATATACATTGAGAATTTTACAAAATAAACGGTTCGAATAATCGAAACGAGACCCGTAACAAGTCCTATGGGCCCCTCAAATTTTTTCATGAGATTTCAACATGATAGAAACCCAACCCTTTAAAATTAATAGTTTTGTGATAAATTAATGAATTTACCTTGCCATAAACCACTTAAAAAAAGTATTTATGAAATCTAGTGTATGTATGCCATTCCAACAATAAAAGAATAAAAAAAAAAAAAATGAGATCCTCTATCCGTTTATATGCATTTTATATTTAATTCAGTAACTAATTTATGTGTTAATGTAAGGGTAAATTACGAATATATTTTTTTAATTTGATTAAAATATAAATTGCTCCCTATAGTTTAAAAAATTACAAATATGTCCTAGTCAAACTTTTTTATTGAACATAATTAATTAAAGAAATGAAATTTCTAATTGCTGTTTTATATAATGATAAAATTATCTAAATTATTAATTAAAATAAAATTTTGATATTATTAAAAATTGTTAATTAACTTGATGATTGAATAGTAAAATTGGTCATTTTTTATGAAATTAAAATTTTCAAGAGATAGAATATAATTTTTAAAATTACAATGAGCAAATCATATTTTAAATAAATATCAGAAAATGCATTGATAAATTACCCTTAATGCAAATATAGTCTTCCCAGTGGCTCCAAGTTTATAGGATTACAAAAACAATGCCAAAGTTAATTGGTATATTATTTTAAAAAATTTATTTGTATGTCATTATTTTAAGCAAAACATATCCAACAATGACGAGGTTTAGCATTTGCAATGAATGTTCTCTAGATACCGGTCAACTTACTTTACATTAAAATTAAATGGGGATATATAAATCTCTCCACAGTCTTATTTATTAAGTATTTTTATGCCTGAACATAGAGTAATTAAAAAGAGTTTTGTTATAAACACATAAATGATTCACAGAATTAATCACAGACAAAATACATGTTTGTCGTTAATTCTGTAAATTATTTTTGTACACTTAACTTTTCTCATCCAAAAAATAGCACCTCTTCAAGTTCCACAACTTTGAAAATATATAAGTTATTTTGATGGGCCTCTTGCTTCAAAATGAAAAATAAAAAAGTAAAAAAAAGCTTAACCCTGATCCTTTGATTGGTTGGTGGTTGTTCTGGAGGATTGCCTTGTTGGAATGTGTACATATATCTTAATTTTGAGAATTGAGTTATTTGATTATAATTTATTGAGGTGTTAGTTATGACTCATTGGAATATTGGTTATGACTACTATTTTGGTTATGATTCAAAATGTTTTTGGTTATACCTTATGTGACCTTTTTTTTTATATATTTATTAATTTTTTTAAGTTATGACTAGAAAAATGATTAGTTATGACAACTGTTGTAATCAACACTACAAATATCATAAATTGCATATAATATACACTCCCAAAAAGTCTGTGCAATAGTATGACCCTTCATATATACGTACATATTTATATAATTATTAAATTATTTCTCATATTTATTTAAGTTACATCTAAGATTATTTTCAATTATTATGTCACAACATTTTTCTTAAAAGAAGTTTATTTATATATACATATACATATACATATAGATATAATAAATAATTCAATTAAAATTTTTGAAATGTTATTTAAAAAACAAAAAGAATTTATCCCATTTGGATAAGTTAATTACTAGTTCTTTTCTTGGGCTTTTATTTATTTATTTAACTCCCTAGAAAACCTGTACTTGTTTAAAGACATTCAAAATATGCTTGTAAATTTAACGACACTGATTTTTGTTCTAGACAACTAACATTAGTTTAGTTTTTCTATTCCACCACCTACTACAAGAATTTACATTTTTGACGACTAAATTTTTAGTATTCAAAAGTCTTTACCGACTAAATATTTTGGTCGCAAGAGTAGTCGCTGAAGCATTGTCGGGGAAGATAATTGGCGACTAAAATTATTTTAGTCGCCAAAAGTAATGCAATGCTGACTATTTTTTTCGTCGCCAAAAGTCTTGGGAAAAAAATTAAATATAACCTTTTTAGTGACAAAAAATATTTGTCACAAAAAACGTTGCTTTTATTTAGCTACTAATGATTTAGTCGCCAATTTTTTTTTTTTTAGTTTCTCCTATTATTTTTTTAGTTGTTAAATATGTTAGTCGTCTAAAGTGTGATTGTGTTTTGGCTACTAGAAGTTTAGTCGCCTAACGTGTCACAGTTTTTGCTATTAAAATTGTAGTCGGCAAAAGTGTTTTTCTTGTTCATCAAAATTTTTTTTGTTACAAAATATTTTAGTTGCCAAATGTTAGATTGTTTTTGGCTACTAACATTTTAGTCACCTAAAGTCTGGTTTTCTTTTTGCCTACCAATTTTTTAGTTGCTAAAAGTCTGACCTTTTTGGCTACTAAGCTTTTAGTAGCCAAATAGTTTGTATTTTGCCTACTAAACATTTCGTCTGCTAAAGCCTCACATTTTTCACTACTAAACTTATAATCGGCAAATGTTTTTTTTTGTTTTTTGGCTACAAAATATTTTATTCGCCAAATGTCTGATTATTTTTTAAGTTTTAGTTGCCTAATGTCTGCTTTTTGTTAGCACTAAGCTTTGTAGTCGCCATAATTGTTTTCGTCGCCTAACGTGTCACAGTTTTTGCTATTAAAATTGTAGTCGGCAAAAGTGTTTTTCTTGTTCATCAAAATTTTTTTTGTTACAAAATATT